CAATGGACTGGACGAGTGCATCAATGGCATTCGAGTTGACCACGTAGTATGACCAGACACACATCTCTACAATTTTAGACATCGACCAAGGAAAGTGCCCTTGCAACCGGCGTCTCATCTGCACGATGGCAACATGGCCCTTGTATGAGCACTAGATAACTCGATGTTAATTCCTGTGGGGTCACGAATTTCGGTCCTCGCATAAGGCGACCACCAATAACTACGCCGTAAAACATCAAATGCGCGTTATTGGCCAACGAACTTCGTGTAACGACGCCAGCGTTAAGAGAAGCAGTGGGAAACGGCTGGTACACTTGAGTTTCTTTGGTTAGCTTCTCGAAGCTATCCCTTAACTACGGCGGAGAGCTGGCCTGTCAAGCGGCGATCGTTGCCCTTGCTTCGTCGTCCTCTTTCTTGTCGGGATCGTCCAATGAGTAAGCTAGCCGTGATCATTCCCATGGCTTGGGTGAAAGTTGATCTGGAATTCAGCATTCAGTATACGAGCGTACCGGCGGTTGATCTACAGTGGCTTTTGACCATTGGTGCCTCGAGTGAGTAGGATAGTTAGAATAGGGTGATCGGTGTGCAATGTAAACATCAAAGCAAGCAGAAATAGGTGCCATTTCTCTAAGGTCCAGACATAAACAAGGGCCACTTGCTTATTAGCAGAGCATGAAGATCCTGCAAAGAACAGCTTCTTGGAAGAGTTTGCGAGAACTGTTTCCTGTTCGTTCTGCATCTGAGTCAGGACCGCTCCCAAACAAATGTCTGAAGTATCCATAGAAACAAATATAACTAGTTTCAAGATAAAATGACCAGTAGTATGGCAGAGATGAGACGTCCTCTAATTTCCTTAAAGACAAATTACTGTGCAAAGACGCAATCAAAAGTGGACTTCTCCTTTGTCAGAAACCACAAGAGCTCCGTTAAGACAGTAAACGGGTGAATAACGTGAGTTGTACGAGTACAGACTAGGAAAACGCTTAATTTTAGGCGAACTCTTCGGAATAGATGCTTCTGTGATAGCCAGCGTTTGCGGCGTATGGTCGGATTCCACCGAGGGATAAGTGGTACCAAAGGAAATCGATTCCAACAGCATCAGATTTGCACTTTTCGGGATTGAACTGGAGATCTGGGATCTCCAAACGGTGTAGCACATGGTGCAGCTTTGAGTCGTGCTCCCCCAGAAAGAGCGAAAATGCAAAATCCCATCCATATACGTAACGTATCCGGATAAAAAGGCATAAGCAGTATGCCGGTACGCAGTACCGACGCTTCATTGCCGCACAACCACCAGTCGCATGTGGGCTAGGGATGCTGGGAAGGTCCCCCGGTCCTTCACTCATCATATACGTTAGCTAAAGGTGGAAAACATCTCAGCTATTGTGCCGCAGGCTCCAATCCGCGCCCTCGAATTATAAGTCACGTTTGTGATCTTTAAGGTTACGAGACTGATAAATCTGCCAGTGGGTGATTCATGAGCTTCTGATAAGTTGTCGGAGGGGGGCTGAGACTCGTTGGCAAAACTTTGCACTGGAACAGACCGCTCGATGTCAGAAAAGTCGTCAGTGGCGTCGATTCTGGTGTCCCTAACAAGTGAGAAAAGGTTTACTTCGGAGTTAATTTGGAGAAAATTCGTGCGCCGGTTACTTTAACGAAAGGCATCAGCAGTACGCCGGTATGCAGCACCGAACCGTCAATGCCGCGTAACCACCGCGTTGCGCGTGGGCTAAAGCTACTGTGAGGGTCGTCCGGTCCCCGACGCAAGCTCGAACCCGCGACCACAAAATTATAAGGCGGGCTTGTGATCCTTAAGACCACAGGCCAGCCGACCGGTTAGCTTGATCAATAACTCATCAACTGCATACTGAAATAAAAGATATACATGTGTTGCGCTATCGATAAATTAATGAGCACGCACGGAAAGTAACGTTACCTACTACAGCGCACTTGCTGCTGCACAACTACCACCAGTCGCACACGGGCTAAGGATACTGTGAGGGTCACCCAGCCCATACGCAGGCTCGAACCCGGGCTCTCGGATTACAAGACAAGCTTGTGATCCTTAAGGCTACGGGACGGTGAAAGAGGTATAATAAGTACGCCGGTACACAGTAGCGACCCTTCCCTGCCGCGCAACCAACACCAGTACTACGGTGTACTGTAAACGCAGTTCGGCTCTGCGACGTCTTATTCAGGTGCGATGTGCTCCAAAAAGATGTAATATACAAAGTGGGAGTCCAGGAATTTCGAATTACGACACCAATCCTCCTCGACAGTTGTCTCGGGTAAACTGTCCCAGTATTCTTCCACCGGATGCTAGAGGTATAGAGGGTGAGCGATTCGCTCAGGTCCGGTACCGCAAGCTTGTATTGATGTCCGCCAGTGCTGCTTGGTGCGCGCACGTACAGCAGCGGCCCAGCATCGGGAAGCCACTTGGTGCGCCATCATGAAGTCTACTGAAAACCGACGATACAACAGGGTGCACAAACCGTCTCTTGCGTTGGCCTCCGTAAACTGGGGATGAGCCTGGTTGCCACATGCCGAACACGTTCCAGTTTTTGCATTTAGCCACGGGTGATCGGACATTTGGTAAGTGAGCCGTATTCGAGCATTGGTCCTATACTGGAAGAGAAAAGGCGAGTGACAGAGCTTTCAAATCAAATGCAGAAGCTGCGCTTAAACGCTTATATACCTTGTTCGAGTTGACTACGGACGTCAAGTCATAGCGCGAGAGTAAGCATAGATCCTTCAAGAAAGGTGTAGGGTGTAGCGGTTGGCCAGCCAGTGTACGTATACCCACCACTACCCTTTCCTAAACTCACAGATGACCAGTTGACTGGGTTGCCCGGTATATCGACATCTGCAGACCACATGGAGAGGCTGTCGAGGTCATGCTGAAGTATGTGGCTATCGTCTGGAGCACCAAGTAATCTCTAAATCTTCGGGCCAGTTGCAAACAAGGCATAAAATGATCGAAGAAACTGTGATACTTCGTTGATGTAGAACGAACGAAATGGACCCTAGTGCTGTAGCTTAGGGCAACGCACTAAAAAAGGGATACCAGTCAGTTAGATGATAAACCACTGTACCCTTCACTTCGGCTCGATAAGTTGATGACTCACCAACACCGTACATCCTTAGATTGTACAAGACCTTATGGTTTACTTTGTAGAACGATGCATAGCGACGAGACGCATCAAGCATCAGCAGCACGCCGGTACACAGTACCGACGCTTCGCTGCCGCGCAATCATCACCGGTCGCACGTGAGTTAAAGATACTGCGAGGGTCACCAGGTCCCTACGCAGGCATATGATCCTTAAGATTACGGGCAGATGACGAGACTGGACCTTAACATAGTTCAATGGTTAGTGTGCTTCAGTGATCCACTGAGCTATGCCGGGTGGTGCTTTTTGCACCTTCAGAGCCACTCATATCAGATTGGTCAATGGTTAGAGGCCAGACAAACTCAGTCCTTTGGCTCTCCAGCTTGGGGGTTGGAGTAAGGGTGGTTCTTTACTTATCACCATCATGATACACGTTAGCTTGAGGTTCTTTACTAGATAAAATGGACTCTGTAGAACAGTGCCAAAACGTCCCTACCTTGCAGTAGGTTTTTAAACCAAAGCCATTGATTGAGAACCTGAATCATTCTCCTGTTTAGGCATGGGCAAATTGACAGTATCCTGCCCACGCAATACAACACCATGACTTTTCCTTCTAACAAGCTCTTGATGCACTGGCCGTCAGGGGATAACCAACGGTGCCACTTCTGCTGTATCGAACAGGGTGGATAGGGATTCGGATGATACAACTCAGGCCTTCCCGTCATCTTATTCCTCTTCGCGCTTTCCGCTCTAACTTCTTTTTTATCGCCCTTGTTTTCAATCCCCCAATCCTTGACCCACCCCATCTTGTTTCAAATCATGTCTTCTAGTTTCGACTTACACACAATTGCAGGGCATCGCTCCAATCCAGTCGACAAGTCCATGTTCAACGTCAGTTCATCATTTTCTCTTTGGAGTCCTCGATAAGACACACATGCCTCAACGTGCGTACTTTGCTACAGCTTGGCCAAGCAGTAGCACTTGCCTGAAAACTAGAGAGAGTTAACTTATTACCAGAAGCGTCAAGCTAAGGCTTTTAGGTCTGACAAACTATGTAACTACGCTTCTTGGGTACTACACTATGATCAATTTGCACGTTAGTATGGGCAGTTCCGTAATTGATGGAACAGAGAAGCCAATTGCATGTGGATGAGCCCGCGATAATTAAATAGATCAGGTAAGATAGAATATGAATAAAAATTTCGTAAATTGTTAAAGGACATGACTGTGTTTCGGATCAGAGGCAAGTGGAACCGCTGAGTCCAATAGCGAGAACCATGAAATTATATGCGTCTGAAGGGCAAGAGCTCATTGGAAAAGCATCAGAAGTCTCTCTGCTGAGAATTATACCGCACTCGGTGACCGAGTGACCAAAAAATGGGAGTAAACAACAGTGCAATGCCACTCTATGCACCAAAAATGGGATCCTAGCGCATTAGAAGATTTCACAAAGTCGTACAGTACAAAAGCAGAAATTGAGATGTTATGAAGATAGCTGAATCAGATGGCGTCTGAATTTTTGCCCATAAGCTGAAATGATGCAATGCGAAGGGCGGCAATAATTGAAAATCAGTCGAGATGCCACGCAATCGACTGCCTACCGTTTGGAGAGTAGACACGGAGATTGATAGGCTGATTGGATATTCCCTTGTTAAGGCCGGTAATTCGATCAGTTTCGGCCTCGATTTCCTTACGCACTTCATCAAAGTTGGTAAACTGTTTGTTCTTCAGGTGCAGAAATTCGGCATACTCTGGAAGAGTTAAAGCGAGTGGAACTTTACCTGATTGAGAATTTATTAATTGAAGTATCAATGGACGCCTAGTTACAATACCACTTCCACGGGGTAGAAAATCACTAATTTTCCAAGTGAACGAAAACTATAGCACCTACCGCCCGACGAAATTTTCCAGAACGCTACTTTTCCCGGCGCTTTGGCTGCCAACAACGGCAATTTGTGGCAAATCCAAATTTAAAGGTACTCCCAAGGAAGAGAACGCATCCTGCAACTTGTTGACTAGTGGGATGAGCTGCTCCATTCCCACGTTCCCCGACATTACGCCGGGGTAGCGTCTGCAGCCAAAACGATAGGAATCTTAACAAGGCTACGATAATCGCAGACTGCCTTGAGAAGGACACACTTGCAAATTGACGTAAAAAGCAAAGTTCGTCATTGGAGAGTACCCTCAACATTTAGGCGTTATTGAAACGATGGCATATATTCTTTCAGCGCAATACAACTTTTACTTAAAATTTGCCTGATGCAATGCCATCAGATTTGGCCGTACTCTACGATGGAATTTGACAACCGCGTTGGTCAGGTCACATCAGGCCTTCAAGGACGAAACAGCTCTTCGCCTAACGTACGTCCCGTTTCGTGTATCCGTGCACAATCTCATGCCCTCACCACTTCACGTTCAAGCTACACTTCTGCAGAGAAAAAAGTAAGCGTAAACTCACAAGACTTCAAGAATCTATTGGTGGCATCGTTTTACTAATTAGAATCCAGCAGTCTCAGTGCAGTTCCGCAAACAGAGTGAAACGATTCTTGATTAGTCCTCTTTTAAAGGCTTCCGTAGTGCTGCATTCCACTAGGGAAGGGGTAGGTAAATTTCAACCACGCACTACATGGTTATTGAAAAATTTCGCCCAGATATCCAGTCTGGACCTGTGTCATAAGCTTTATATAGTGTCCCCGCAGGTGGTTCGACGTAGCTTGTTCAAAGTAATCAGTAGGCTTAATGCCACTGAAACCATAACCAAACGTTCCAACGGATCTTCCGTTAGTATGCGTCGTTCCAATCCAGGTGGGCAACGTACAACCTCACGCTGGTAAACCTTCAGTCGTTTGGCCAGTAGTTTACCTTCTCTAAGAAATCAACCTCCTTCCGAAACTAGGTTGCCAAAGCCTGAGCATAATACTTCAAGTGAGGTCGAAGCAGCTTTTGTCCAATGGGAGCAAGACCTAAGTTTAGCATTGCACAACTCAACCCTGCGACGAAAAATTACTGTCGAGCTCTGTTAGCAGTATATTTGCTCAGCGCCGAAGTCCCGAAGCTACCTACCATAACGATTCCTGAGTCCCTCGGCTTATAAATAAATAAATAAATAAATAAATAGTTTATTCTCAACTTCATAGAGACACACCAAATCAGGCATGCTCAAGGTTTACAAGCAGTTGTGTATCACGACGATACTTCGGGTTCAATCTTGTGTAGTTGAAACGGTCAAGGCACTATAAGTGCAATGAAACGGCGCATATAGACGGAGAGTATCATATACTTGCGTGTGTCGGGAAGAGTTGAAATATGAGTCTAGTCGACTTGCCAGTACGTAGTTGTGGGCAGTGACTTTATTTAATGGCGAGTCACATCCTCCACCTCGCAGTATTGTTAAACAGACATTTGTGGCTTTTTATAGGGAGAGCGCTTGCCAGGCGAAAACCCACCACGTCCTGCAACACTGCCGTAAACATTTTGAACATTAACGTTGAACTGGCAAAGTCGCTTGACGACTGGTTTCATATTCGGTTGTTCGCAGACAAATGGCTCCTAAGTTCCTCTGTTAGTTGGACAGATAATTTGCTCGGGATAGCCATGATTGTTTAACTCGGTTGAGGAGAGGGACATCGCGACTAGTCGTATTGTTGTGTGTCCAGGTGAGCAAAAGTTCAAATTTTCTGCTGTCTGGAGTTTTCAGATGTATAATGTATAAGAGTATGAAGATTTGTCCAGTTCTGCATACTGGACAAGGGTTGTGGTGATTGTAGTTGGGTCCTTTTCGTTTTCAACCGTGCTCCATGTAAGTCCTTGTCGGTTGTTACGTTCGTCTTAGGCAAAAACTGTTCCTCAGTCCAATCTCAGATCTCCAAGCAGTTCCGGACCTCGGAGAAAAGGGAAAATGAGGGACAACCGAGAGAAGACCGCAAGAACAGGCATGGAGCTAAACATTGTTAACGTCTTATTTTATAACGTTTGGAGTTGAGACAAATACATGTACACTGTGCAACAATAATTATGCTGAAGATGCCTTTTGAATATCCTATAGAATCGTTAGCCGTATGGGTGGATTGCTGACGCCTGCGTAAACACATAGCGTTGTACCAGTAAGTAAACTACGAAGTATCGGTTTATTGTGAGCCAAAATTGCGTGGGAAGAGAGCAAAGAGAGTTTGAATATTGGTGGTGATTGCAAGTTGCATGAACAGCAAGTAGCTAGCGTAATACGATAGACAGCAGAGAATAAGTGAAAATAAATCGGTTGCCGCAAGAAAGGTCTAAGAGTCAATTGGCGGTAGGGCAGCGGAAATATTGGATGCAGATATTCTAAGGGAATACAGGTTATGGAGATAATGAGTGGCTCCTAACAAGCACTGGATAATCGCATATGCATGGAGCCAATGACCACTAGCTACTTCTGAACAGAAGTGTCGAATTTAAGTCGACCGACAGGTGGTGGCACCAGGCAAGACTAGCGGTGGCCAGATGTATCGATTCCAATCAGACGCGTGGTCACTAGTGTATGCCTATAGGGTCACTGAATGCACCAACAAGCCATCGGAGGTAAGTGATACGGACATCCCAGGAGAATGTATGATGGAGAGACAAGGAGTGTATCCTAGAAAACAAGGAGTGTATCCTAGCATTGCAATGCCAGGGACCATGTGGATCTTTACACTGTAATCCCTACGTTACTGGGTGATAACAGCTGACATTTGTTTGCTTTCAGTGGCAAGTCCCGTGGTTTGGACCATTTTGCCATAGTGCTCTGATCTTTAGACAACGTATCCCTATCTCTCCTAATGACAAGATTTAGGTCACCCACAAAAGCATAACAGGGTTTTCAAGGGGTTGAGCCAGCTCACTTATAAACATAAGCAACTACAATGGTCATAGCACTGATCCCTGGTGGACTCTGCTATGGGCGGTGCCCATGCTAGATTTGGCCATACCAATTCTGACACTGAACTTTCTGCCACAGAGAAAATCCGACAACCAACGCATCAGTTGGGAAGGAAAGCTCAATCGAGTCAGCTCATGTAGTGAAACTCGATGAGGAACCTGGTCAAGTACTTTAGGGTAGTCTGGGTAGCAGAACGCTACTGGAATCCTGATATCGAGGCATCGAGTTAGTTCGTCCAAGAAGCGCAACAACTTCGTAAGACGACTCCTTTCCATCGAAGCCATACTGTGCCGCTTCATTCAAGTAGTTCACAAGTGCTCATAAAATTTAGTGTCTAATAAGTTCTCCAGGCACGTAAGCAGCATACACGTCATACTGACTGGCTTATAGTTGATTGAGCAGACTTGGAGCCCCTTATGAATTACCACAACAGTCAGCTCTTTACCGTCATGTGGTAGCCTAGCTTCCCGAAGGGGACAATTGTATTGGTCCAAGACGGGGTACAGTAGAATATCAGCGAGCGGTTTAACAATCGCTGCATGAACATTGTCAGGACCTGCAGATTTATAGGGTTTTAAGCCAGCCAAAGGCTCAAGGAACTCTGATGCAGTTATTAAAATTTTTGCATTTCAAGAGCACTTGAGAAGTGCGATGGCGCGAGGATTGCACAGGCACTGCCCTCACTATGCCAGCGCTGAAGGATAAGAACAACCTCACCACAACCTTCCTTCGTCAGGTTACCTAGTCCAGCCCCTAAGAAGCTTTTCACTGTACAAACCTGCAATAAAACTGGATTTCTTTTTGCATTCTGAGCTAATCTAAGCTCATAACGATATTTAGCTGACCTCTGCAATTTTCTTGCTTTATTCCGATATCGGTTGCAGTGTAACAATTGTTTGAAGCCTGCAGATACCTGAGAGGTTTTAACAAGTATTTCGACTATAATGCATCCGGCAATTTCACGTCGCCACCAGCAGAGCTTATGCTTGCTTCTATCGGGGAGCAAGGTTGCAAACTTATCCATTTTGTTCTAACCTCGCCTGATTTTGTGCAGGAACCCAAGGGAGCTGGACGGTTCTGCGCAGCAAACATCTAATGCAAATTAGGCCAAACGTTCTCCCAAGCTGATGTTAAAGTGTAGGCTTCTTTACATTCACCGAAAATAAACAAATAAGGGGTTATTCGCAACTGCAGCACGGCACACTATTGCAGGCATGATCAAGCTTTTACAGACGCTTATGTTTAGCAACGAACACGGTGCTTATCGCATAATATATAGTAGGCACTTAACTAGAAGATATACCTGTCAAAAACAGAATCGTTAGTAATGTGCTAATAGGCTGGGTTTACGCGTGTGATGCAGAGATCAGCCGTAAAAGCGTAATATGTGGAGCGGTGACGGAAGGTACAGCGGGGAAGTATTCTTTACTGTACACATCAAAAATGGTAAAGAAAACCATCGCTCTTACCTATGGTGGCTTCCGCAGGCTCCTCTGCTACATTGTTATGCTTGACGATCACATCTCAACTGGAAGGGGACGTCCCAATTCGACTTAACATCGGAAGAGCAAAGCCTTGGACGAACGCATTCTCGTCTATCCATTTAATCAATTCCCACTCCAATGTACCTGTTACGTAGATGTAGAGCTGTACTTCTGCGTTTGGAATACTTAGGTTTTATAGTTTAACAAAATTTGGTGCAGTAACTGCCGCCTGATTTCAGAGGTTGTTGAACTCTCTCTCCTCCACGCTCTTGGAGGAAGTGCTACGGTACCCACAGACGAAGTTTTCCAACCTGCCATCTACCCTCAAAAAGCAAGCAATAGACTGTATATTTGACGTTTCCAAAGAAAATGTAGAAGCCCAATGCTTGTGTTTGATTTCGACGAGCAAAGCACCCCACCACCAACCTGCTGCCTGGGTCGTTCCACCCGCTTCCACCGGTAAGTCGCTAACTTGATCAATGGTAGGCAGCCAGGTTTCAGTTAGAGGGACAACGTCAGCGAGCCTGCAGCGCAGCTCCAAGCCCTCTCCGTTATTCCTTCATCTACCACCGTTAGTGTAGCATTCTCTGAGACCCCCAGTGCAGCTGCTTTCATTCGATTAGCGTTTTTTATAGTCCCTCTCGGAAGCAGAGCACAATGGTACAGCTCGC